AATACATAATATAATTTAGTGAAGTGGAAAGAAGAAGATTCAATACTTACGTCTGCATGCAAAACCAGTCCATCTTCATGTTCCTGGAAGTGGGATATTAGAATCTTGACAAGCAGGTGTGCCATCTCTATGTTCTCAGCCTGGGACAGGACAAGCTTCACCTTTTCATTCAAAACACGTATTAAACAATTAAAAATATTCTGTCTACCGCTCTCACACACACAACTGTATCCGAGTATGAGGAACAAGTTATAATGTAAGTGTCAGAATGAAGTAACATATAGAGGTTTTATACGCGGTTTGCGCAAATTTATCCAGTGCAAAATCTGCGATTAAAATGTGCTCATATACAATGCCCACTTAATAAACAATAACTTAGAATATATTTAGATTACACTCTAAATTGCTTTAGATACAACTTAAGATGAAATCCGCGCAACACTTCCACTGAGAATGCGTCGCTCCGAAAATGCAAACGTTTCTCCCCATCCTCCACCGATCAAGTCAAGTGCTCATGCAAAAGGCGGCAAGTTTATATGCTTCTTTAGTAAAATTAAGTTTACACGCCTATTTTCGATTTCCCTATATATAAGGTTAATATATGCCAACTTTACACACGCCTAACTTACTAGATATTTTAGGCAATATAGAAATCTTGGCCAGGACACGTCCTGGGAAAAAGGCACTTATGGTCACCCTAACTTACGTATATCCACCGACGCTTCTCTCACTGGTACCAAAAGCTAACCGTTGCCCCCCACCGAACGCAAGTATTTTATATTTCCCTGTATAAGATTAACATTTACAGGATTTTACACCAGAAAACAACAAAACATGCAATTAGCTGCAAGAATCGCTCTCTTCCTTACACACACACTTAACTTAACGCTAATTCACCGTCTTAAACCTCAGGGTTGGCAACAATCTGTCAAAGGCAAATTAAAAGATTGTGCCCACATAAAAAATAAATATATCAAACAAACTTATTTCAGACTCTGATCTGCTTACCTGTAAATGAGCTTCAACTTGAGATGAAATCCATGCATATAAAACGTTCACTGAAACCGATGCTCCTCGATGCGTCGGCGTCAATCACTTGTACCAAACTAGCCTTTGGTTCCCCTCCCCCACCTATCACGTGTGCATTTACGGTAAGACACCGTAATTTTAGAAAACAGTTCAGTACTGTAAATTTACAGGGATTTTTTTACAGTGAATGCACTGGGTCAGCTGGCCAATCAGAGCAGACTGCGCTTGTTGGAAGGAGGGACTTTGTAGAAAACGAAGCGTTTGAGAGAGGCGGGGCATAGAGGACTTACAATAATGTACAGTATTTGAAAAATAATGTGTTTTTTTGAACATTAAAGCATGTCAACATATTCTGTTACACCAAATACACAAAATAATGATCTTTTAAAAAAGCATCATATGACCCCTTATATAAAGTGAACTTTTGGCCACAACTGTTTATGCTTGCCAGCATGGAAAAAAAATACAAAACACATGCACTGGTACTTAGAGTTTGGCATGTTTTTGAAAACTGATGGGTTATAAGACTGAAATAATATCACAGTTTAACAATAAAAACAAAATAAGACCATTTTTGCACCATCAAATCTCAAATAAATGTATTTTTGTGGCATGGCCCAGAGAAAGTTGTAGTTTGGTTACAAGCAATGAAACCGATGTAACAAGAATTTCTCACAATTTTTGTTTAAGGCCTTTATTATGTAAACAGTTGCAAATAAGTTTCCTCAAAAAAAAAAGTCCACAATCAAACATATGGGGCAAGTTCCAATTATTGCAATAACGAGATCAGAATTGTCCACTGTATTCACAAAAAAGTCTCTAAATATGAAGCAGCTTTGCTGCAATGTGTTGAATGAAGAGAATCTGCTAAACTAAAGATGAAAACAGTAACAGAGTTCCTATATCACCACAGATCAAAATTCTTTGGATGTGATTGTGATTTGGCCAGGGCAACTGATCTGTCAGTCACGGTCATGTCCTGGTCAGCAGACCAGAGTACCAAACGTACCATGAGTACAGAAAGCCTAGCTGACTCATGTCACCTGCATATCAATCATCATCCTCATCATCCGAGTCCATTACCCGTCGTCGGTTAAACTGGGAACAAAACAGAGACATTCACTGGGCACTTATGTTTATAGATTTTTTAAACTTTGATTTTTACAATCTCAAGAACATATTTTTAATATAATCACAAGGTTCTTACTTTTACAGTTGTTTTCTTCTCTGTTTGTTGACTGACTTTCTCCAGGATCTCTATTAGTCCAGCCTCTGTAATCTAAAGATACAACACTCAATTATATAAATAGCACATTATACAATTAATAAACACATTTTGAATGATGCATCATCTGTATTCTTACTTTTCCTCCAAGCTGTCCAAAGCGAGCCATCTGTATCAGGTAATTCTCCACTGCTTTTGCTTTATCTGGCTTTACAAGAGCCAAATTACTCACTAAATAATAAATAAATAAAAAAAGCAACAACATAGTTACTGTAGATTTTAGTTTTAAAATATTTAAAGGTGTAGTATGGAATATTGACAGCTAGCAGTTGAAATGAGTACTGCATCACAGAATCACTGAGACCAAAACAAAAACAGATATTCAGACACGGAACACATCTCAAACTACAATAACTGGCTGGAGCATTGAAACAAGTAATAACAATTTAGGATGCTTCCTAAATATCTGCAAACATATTATGATATGTTTATGCTTTAGTACAGTCAAACAAATTACATACAGCACCTTTAAAAGAGTCCACAACAAAAATAAAAATAATTTAATCCTTTACTCATCCTCATGTTTTTCCAAACCCACAAGTCTTGTGTTCATCCTTGGAAAGCAAATCAATATACATAGAGCACATCAAAAATGGTAAACAGAAGCAGAAACATGTTTGCTTAATGCACAAGAACAAACTAGAGATGTTCTTATGTTTGAGCTTCTGTTAATCATATCTAATGCGAGTATGGTGGAGCTCCTGTTAACCATATGTGACCCTGGACCACAAAACCAGTCATAAGGGTAAAAAAAAATAATAAAAATGTATAGCTGAATAAATCTGAAAGCTGAATAAATAAGCTTTCCAATGGTGTATGGTTTATTAGGATAGGACAATATTTGGCCGAGATACAACTATTTGAATATCTGGAATCTGAGGGTGCAAGAAAAATCAAAATATTGTCCAAATGAAGTTCTTAGCTATGCATATTACTAATCAAAAATTAAGTTTTGATAGATTTACGGTAGGAAATTTACAAAATATCTTCATGGAACATGATCTTTACTTAATATCCTAATGATTTTGCGCATTAAAAAAATCAATAATTTTGACTCATACAATGTATTGTTGGCTATTGCTACAAATATACCCATGCTACTTATGACTGGTTTTGTGGTCCAGGGTCACATATCTGCAGTGATCTATGCAAATGCAGTGGTCAATGTTTCCATGCATAGATACACATACAGTGCCGTGAAAAGGTTTTTGCCCCCTTGCTGTTTTAATTTTTTTTTTTGCATATTTGTCACACTTAAAAGATTCAGATCATCAAACAAATTTTTATATTGCACAAAGATAATGCAAGTAAATACAAAATGCAGTTTTTAAATGATGATTTCATTTATTAAGGGAAAAAAGCTGTCCAAACCTACCTGGCCCTATGTGAAAAATGAATTGACCCCTCCAGTTAAATCATGAAAGAACTGTGATTAACCACATTATTTTAGAAAGCTGAGTTAAATTTCACTAGCCACATCCAGGCCTGATTACTGACAGACCTGTTGAATCAAGAAATCACTTCAATAGAACCTGTCTGACAAAGTGAAGCATGCTTAAAGAGCAGCACATCATGCCACGATCTAAAGAAATTCAAAAACAGATGAGAAACAAAATAGTTGACATGTATCAGTCTGAAAAGGGTTATAAAGCCATTTCTAAGGCTTTGGGACTCCAGCGAACCACAGTC